AAAATTTATAGAAAACAATAATTTGTTCTGTATATTCATTTTCATTTTCTTTCCAATGGAGTACTGTACTACCTACAACCTTTTCCATAGAGTCAAAAAGAAAAAAAAAATGCCAGTGGGTGGCGGTGGAGGTGAATGGACCTGTCTGTCTCTGTCTAGTAAGAAAAGAGAGACGCATTTGGCCATGATTAGAACTATAGCTACACCCTACACATAAATATTAAAGTTACCCATAAACATGTGTTTGGTTTTCCACCGGAAGTGAGAAACATTCGCCGTTGTCAATTCATTTAGCCCTCAAATCTATTAGAAATCGAAAAAAAAAAGAGAAATATTTGAAGAAAAGTTTATTACTTTCTTGAATAATACTATATGTATAATGATTTATATATATGTGTTTATAAAGAGAATATTTTAAGGTATAAAATATATAAGGAGAATATTTTAAAGTATAAAAGATTTACAATAAGTGTGAATATAATTTAAATTATTGTATTAACATCTTAATATCTCCTCTCATACTCAAGGTGGTTGTGATGAAACCAACTTGAATTTGGAAAAAAGAGTACGAAATCGTCCACGAAAATGAGCCTTAGTGAAAAGGTTTGCTGGTTGATTAACGGAGCCAATAAAAACCAAATGAACAGTTCCTTGTACAACTTGATGACAAACAAAGTGACAATCAATCTCAATGTGTTTAGTGCGTTCATGGAAGACATCATTATGAGCAATCTGCATGGCACTTTGATTGTCACAATAAAAGATTGGTAGCAGGCGGTTGAGAAACACCCATATCTTCTAGTAGCCAACGTAAATTAAGTAACTCTGATGTGGCGTCTCCAAGTGCCCGATATTCAACCTCTGTGCTAGAACGTGATGGAACTATCTGCTTCTTGCTACGTTAAGAGATTAAGGAATCACCAATAAAAAGATAATATCCAACGGTGGATTTACGATCATTAAAGTCTCCAGTCCTATCAGCATCTGAGTAAGCACGAAGTTCAAGAGATGAATGAGCAAAAAAGTGAAGTCCATGGAACATGGTACCTTTAATATATCAAATAATGCGAAGTATTGCTATATAGTGAGTGGAGCGAGGCATAGCCATAAACTGGCTAACAACATGAACTGCATAACCTATGTTTGGTTGTCTTGTAGTGAGATAAATCAAACTTCTAACCAACTATCTATAGCAAGTAGGATCAGCTAATCGAGAACCATCCATCGATGTAAGTCAAACATTGGGCTCAAGAGGAGTAGATGCAGTCTTATTGTCAATGAGTCTAGCTTTAGATATAAGATCAAAAGCATATTTTTTTTGAGAGAGAAGATAACCATCATCAGAATAGGTGACCTCAAGTCCCAAGAAATAGCTCAAAACACCAAGATCTTTCATTTCAAACTTATGGCCGAGAAATAGCTTAAGATCATGAATACCTGAAATATCATCCCTAGTAATGATCATATCATCAACATAAAGAAGTAGTAGAACCATACCATGATTAGTCTTGCGTATGAATAGTGCAGTATCATGAGGACCATAAGTAAAACCAAATTCACTGATGGTGGTACTAAACTTTGCAAACCAAGCTTGAGGTGCTTGTTTCAAACCATATAGAGCTCGCTTCAGTCGATAGATTTTGTTTGGAGGATGCTCAAGTCCAAGAGGTGGTTTCACGTAAACTTCTTCTGCAAGATCACCATTTAGAAAGGCATTTTTCACATCCATTTGAAACAATTTCCATCTTTTTGCAGCAATAATAGCAATCAAACTACGAACTGAAGTAAGACGAGCAACAGGTGCAAAAGTTTCCGCAGAACCATTTAGCAACTAAACGAGCCTTGTAACGCTTCGCAGAACCATCAGATCGAGTTTTGATCTTGTACACCCATTTACAACTCACTAGAGGCTTTTCAGCAAGAAGATCAACCAAATCCCATGTATGAGTTTTGTCAAGAGCTTATAATTCATCTTGCATAGCTTGCTGCCAAAGAGGATTAAAAGAGGTCTCTTCGTAGGATTGAGGCTCATGTAAGGAGGTTATAGCAAGAAAGCAATGATAATCACGAAGATAGTTAGGAGGATTTCTTACCCGAGTAGGATGACTTGAAGGTGGATTAAGGATCTCATTTTCAGGCTCTAGATTAATAGGGTTAGATCTAATATGTGATACAAAAGAGGTAAGGGAAGAAGACTCAGCATTGTCTAATACATTATCAGCAGGCAGAACATCTTCTATAGAACCAGGTGGAGCATGTGGAAAGGCATCATGGAGCTCATCAAATGTATTTGCATCATAGTCACTAGGAAATAGCTCAATAGAAGGGTTAGTAAAAAGTGGAGGTTGATCAAAAGATGACACCTGGAAGTTTGATAATGAGGAAAACATAGTGTGTTCCCAAAAGACAACATGATGTGAGACTTGAAGTTTTTGTGACACAGGATTCCAACAACGATATCCTTTATGTGTAATCCCATAACCCAAAAAACAACATAATCGAGCTTTAGACTCTAACTTATTATGTTAATGAGGTGGAAGAAGAACGAAACAAGCACAACCAAAAACCTTAAAAAGATCATAGGTAGGAGGAATACCATACAAACATTCGTATGGAGACTTATTATTAATGACCTATGATGGAATCCGGTTAATGAGATAAATAGCTGTAAGAGCAGCTTCACCCCAAAATCATTGTGGACAAGAAGATGAAATGAGCAAAACACGAACAGAGTCAAGGATGTGTCTATGTTTACATTCCGCTCTCCCATTTTGTTCAGAAGTGTAAGGACAAGATTGTTGTGCCAGTGTACTGTGTTCTTTCAAAAAGAATTGAAGTTTAGTACTAAGATTTTCCATGGCATTGTCCGTTCTCAAAATTTTGATAATTTTAGAGATTTGGGTCTTGACCATTATAGCAAAATCAATATACATTTGTGGCAACTCAGAGCCATTTTTCATAAGATATATCTAGGTAAAACGGGTATGATCATTAATAAATAACACAAAATACCTGGAACCCCCCATGGTAGGTGTCGGAGATGGACTCCAAATATCAGAATGCACAAAATCAAAAGAAACAGCAGAAAGAGAATGACTACTAGTAAATGATAGGTTAAATGCTAAATTTGGTCCCTTAACTTTAGTGAATTGCACATTTTTGGTCCCTCAACAATTTTTTGCACTTTTTTTATCCTTAAACTTTAAGAAATGCACTCCGTTAGTCCTTCTATTAATTTCGATCGTTAACTCGCTCATGTGGCATTTTTTATTATTTTTTTGATGACGTGGCAAAAACAAATTGAAAACGTGTTGATGTGGATTTTTTTTTCATACCAACTCACATGATTACTATTTATATTCAAAAAATAAATAAATAAATTCCATCTTCTTCCTTTCTCTTCTTTCTTCCTCTTCTTCCTCGGGCCAGGCCATTGAACCCAGTTTGTTGGGTTTGACGGAACCCCGCCTGGGTTCCATCGAACCCAGATCTG